CTTCCTTCCTTCCTTCTAAGTAAATAGGCCATTCTCTGCTTCATTTCTTACCTAGCCTTAATCACTAAAAGGGCAATGCCTCAGTCAAGATCTGTTAAAGACCTTAACATAAAAAGGCCAAGGTCTCTCACTATCTACATCTTGCCACTGGACCCAGATGGTTCCCGAGGAGAAAGTGAGGCTGGTGACTTTGCACTGCCCTTCCTCACTTAAATCCAGTTCACTTGCATATCATGGCATCACCTCCCTGATGTCATGGTCTTCTTCAAGAACAAAGGACAAACAAAACAATTGCTTCTAAAGATACCCACTTCTTACCTTAAACCACAGAAGGCTAAAGATTTATAGCTAAGGAGATTAAAATGATATAGTTTTTAAATGAGTTGTCCCAAAGTGGAATGGGCTGCCTCTAGAGGTGATGAGTTCCCCCTATATGATGGTCTTCAAGTACAAGATGGAGGACCACAAGTTATGTTATCAATGGGGATTCCTTTCTGGTGGGGTGTGAATGGTACTAGAGAGATGCTTAGGTTTCTTTTAACTCTTAAATTTTGTGATTCTGTGATCCAGAGGCAGCTAATATTTAGGGTTATCTCTAAGACAAAACACCTTAGTAAGTACTTTACAATGGTCCTTTTTTTGGTAATTACTTTTCATTTAAATTGTCTACTTCCTTTGAATTTACAGAGTTTTCTTGCTATGTAAAAGTTTTGGTAAGGATTTTACCTTTCCCAAGAATGTATTTAATGCTCAAAAGTCAAGCTTCATAATTTTAACTTTGCTTTTTTGTTTTTTTAACAGGTCTATCTCATTGCAAATGAAATTCTAAGGCATTTGTATGAATTATTTGACTGAAGATTTGAGGAGATGGTTAGAAATACCAATTTCCAAATTATCTATCTATATCTACAGATATATCTACCTATCTAAATTACCTATTTGAAATATCTGCATAGAAATTCCAAAATATCCATCTATCTATTTATCTGTCAGTCTATCAACTATCTGTCTATTTATCTATTCATCATTTATCTGTCTGTCTATCCGCTTGCCTGCCACATATTAGATAAGTAGAAATATTGCATTGTGGCAGGGAGCTGCTGGTAAATGTTTAACAACTGGCTTTCAGAAAAAAAAGTTTTCATAACACACTTTAAAGTTTAAACAGCATTAACATTTTCCCCATCACTTTCTGAAGTCTAGATAATGATGACGACAAAAAAAACACAATAAAGCAAGCCCTGATTTGTAGCATTTGCTGACTTCCAAGATATAAATGCTCACAGTGAAAATTTAACAATTAGTTCTCAGAAGCCTGTATAAGCTGCTTCCAGCACATCCCTTTATAGTGGATAAAGACCTGGCTATGAAGTCAGGAGGACCTGGGTTCAAGTCCTGACTCTGACACAATTCAAGTTCACCTCTCAGTGTTCCCAGACAACTCTCTAAGACTCTGATTGCATTGGGTAGAAGGTGCTTACAAACAGGGAGTTCCTCTTCACAGAAGAGATTACAGGTGGAGAGGAAGGAAAAAAAAAAGTGTTAGATAACACAACATTGAGTCAAGGAATAAGTGGCTCAAGGAATCAAGACTTCTTGGTCTGGAAGCTCAAAGGGTGTGGCTCTTCAAGTTCCATAGGAGTGGAGGGAGGGTTGGGCAGGGGGCAGCTGGCTAGTGATCCCTTGCTTCAAAAGCAATTACTTAGTGTTCACATAATCACTAACAATTAATTATGATGACATGCTTGGGTGGTATGTACATGGCATTTCCCTTGTTTGCCAGATAAGGAAACTAGGGAAAGATGGGAATGTGACTTGCTCAAGGTCTCATAAAGGATGCTTCAGATCTTTGAGTAGAAACCAGATGATCTTCTCAGCACAGAATTCAGACCAAAGTGCCAACCCATACCCCTTCCTTTGGTTAAAGGCTTCAAACTCAGCCAGTTTCACCTCCTCTATATTCTGTGTTGTTTCTCCAGTCACTTAGGTCTATTTCAGCAGTTCCAGCAATGACCAGTTCCAGTTCTCTTGCATCAAAAACAGATACCAGCCTAGCATCCACCACCTGTGAAAGGAAGAGAATTCAAGGAGATGAGTCAAGGAAATCCCTTCTGTGAATGACTTGGCAGAGAAGAATAGCATTGGGAGGAGGAATTTAAGTAAGTGGTGCTGAATATCCCTTTTCTACGATAAATCAACTAACAAGCATTTATCATTTATGTACATTTATAGATTAATTTATGTGCAAGTTTTATATGTAAATGTAAGATATAAGGTATAATTTTAATTGCAGCATTGGTGTCTATAAGAACAACAACAACATAATAATAACTAATATTTATACAGCACTTACTATGTGCCAGTGACTATGCTAAGCACTTTACAAATATTGTCTCATTTGATCCTCACAATAATCCTGGGAGATAGGTACAATTATTATCCCTGTTTTACATATGAGGAAACTGAGGCAAACAGAGGCTAGGTTACTTGCCCAAGGTCATACAGCTAGTAAGTGTATGAGGATGGATTTGAACTCAGGTCTTCCTAACTCCAGGTCCAGCATTGCATCCACTCTTCACTTAGCTACACCTAAGTGTCAACATGTCATAGCATCCTAAGATCATCATTCTAGAATTGGAAGGGACCTTACAGGTCATCACATCCTTATTTTAGAGATGAGGAAACTGAGGCTGGAAGTTAAACGACTTGCCCAAAGTCACACATTTGTAAGTGGTGGAGCCAGAATTCAAACTCAAGTTTCATGACTCCAAATTTATTTTTCCTCCATTGTATCATACTACCTCCACTAACATGTCAAGAGAGTACAGAGAAGGCTCTCCAGCACATTGGTTTCCCCCACCCCTCACTACCATTGTGATGAACTAATGGGACAACATGGATGAGAGTCACAGAGTGGGAGAGCATGGATGGGTTGCTATCTCAGACTCATTGTCCTGCATGTAGACATCTCAAACTCAGCAGGTCCAAGACGGAACTCATCTTTCCTCCCATCACCTTCACTCTTCTGATCTTCCCTATTACTGTTGAGGGAACTACCATCTTCCCACTCACCTAGGCTCACGATCTAAGTGTCATTCTCAACTACTCTTTCATATTTACTTACATGACTAATCAGTTTCCAAGTCTTGTCATTTCTACTGTCAAAACTTCTTTCCTATTGATCCCTTTTTTTCTGGTCACTAAGGCAAGACACTGGTAGGCCCTTGTTATCTCATACTAAACTATCACAATAGTCTTCTGGTTGGTCTCCCTGCCTCAAGTCTCTCCCTACTCCAGTCCATCCCCATTTGACTGTCAAAGGGATCTTCCTTCTCCCCCATTCAGTAAACTCCTGTGGCTTCCTATTACCTCTGGTATAAAAGTCTTTACAACTTGGCCGCTTTCAACCTCTCTAGTCTTCTTACCCACTTTAATCTACTTTACATATTCTATAATCCAGCCATGTTCATTTTCTTTCTGCTTCTGACACTCAACACAGCATCTCCCAACTCTTCCTTTTTCATTGACTGTTCCCCCATGCCTAGGCTGCTCTCCATCCTCATCTCTGCCTCCTGGCTTCCTTGGCTAGGAAGACTCAGCTCAAATCCCACCTTCTCTTTCTCAGGCCTTTCTCAGTATCTCTCCTCATGTACTGCTACTGCTTTCCCTCTGACATTATTCTGCATTTTCACTGTATATGTCTTTTGTCTACATGGTTGCTTGCATAAGGTCTACCCCATTATAATGTGAGCTGCTGCAGGGTAAGGACTATGTTTTCGTCTTTCTTTGTATCCCTAGTGTTTAGCACACTGCCTGGCGCAAAGCATGTATTTAATAAATGTTTATTGACTGATCGACTGTTTTGCTGGAGGGGATACTCACATCTATGAGACCACATATCCATAGGAGTATTAGGGTTTTTTAGTTAAATCAAAATACTCTCTCTCAGCATCACAATTTTCCATACTACATCAAAATAATGATTGGTCCAATCGGCTTCTCTGTTCTGAAAAGGATCTTAGTGGCTTCCAAGGAAAAAAACCTCCTCGAACATATAACTAGCTTGTTCTGACCATTATGTGTGATCATTTCACACCCTCAAGCATGAGATTCGATTACCCATATCTTAGCATGCATGACTTAAAATGATATTAGTGGTCATTAAATCATCAAATCCTATTTAAATTCTAGTCAAAACATTTAACTCAAAGACCTCTTGAACCAGAGAATTCCATGAATTCAACAATCCACCCACCCCACCCCATTTTCTCAGAAAAATTATCATATAAGCAAAGAGTATTCTCCATACATTAATTTGAATAATCAATGTTTTATGTAAAAAAGAATACTTCATGCAGGTAGAGATAATATGTGACATCTGTAGACACAAAAGATATATTTTGACATTTGTGGATAGCCATATATGGATTTTTACATCTGTAGAAACCGAAATTCAAAGCATGCCCCACAAAGGCCCAATTTCTTTACCTCATAAAAACCCCGTACTAAGCTCTCTGTTTGTTGTACAACACCCCTCTCAATCCTCCATTTCACCATTCTCTCGATGTATTCTTTCTTGTTCTTCTCTGTGACTGGGATATTGGCACCCCCTGGTTTTAATTCTCGTTCAGTGATCTTGGAATAAATGTATATAATATATATTTACATAAATATTTTTAATGGAGTCAAAGTATTACAGTTTAGTCACAAAAGAGACTATTACCAAAAACATGAAGACATTTTGCCATAATCTGTATAATTGCACATATCTCTGTGGCATAAGAATTGTGTCTTCCATACCTTGTCTATAAGAGACCTTCATCAAATGCTATGTATATAGTGAGCACTTAGTAAGCTTCATATGACTGATTATTTGATATCAAGGAGTCTCAGAGTATCACTACTTATTTCTAATTCTCATCAATTAGGCTGAATTTCTTTGAGGTGCTGGCTGTTTGCCATCTGAATGGCTGATTAGGACTTTTCATAAATCCCAATGTGACTTAGCATTTATTATGTATTGGTATCTAATGTTTAAATGAGAATTTAACTTTGAGAGTAAAGGATTTATATTCAGATGAGAACCAAGGTTGAAAAGATATTATGAATTCTGGAAAAAGCTAACAGCAAGATATAGTAATGAAAAAAAAATCACTGAGGCCCAGCCTACGCTAATGCTGGCAGAACAATATAAACCAATGTCACTGATTCTATTTTGCACATCTGTATCAAAATATTGATTCTATTCATTTTATGACTGCATTTTCCTGTCTGAATAATAGCCAGATACAAATATACATTTAGTATGTGGGTTCTATGAAAATGAGGGCTTTAAAAATGTGTTAGGCACATAGAAAGTAGCTCACAGCGCATATTGTTCTTTTGAAAGCAAAAATAAGAAGGCTTACACAATAACATATGTAATATGTTGCCATTTAGCTCCTTTTCCTCTGTGATGGCACTGTTATTTCTAGAGATAGATTCTACAATGAGTAAGTACCTTCACAGAGTAAATGGACACACTCACCTGATTTAGGAATTGTCAAACTCTACCAAAAATAGCCATGCCTGATGTTTGTCCACTGATATAGCTGATCACCTAGCAATAAATTCTAACAAAGCAAATAAAGAATCTGGCCACACTGCTTTAGTATGTGCATACCTGTCCAAAAACTTCTTCATTTACAGTAAAGGTGAGGTCTAGGATATCATGTATGTCATTGTCTTTCATCCACTGAAGGCTCTGGTGGAACTCTTCATCAAGGTATTCTAGATCACTCAAATCACACAGACTAATGTGTCAAAGAGAAAGATGAAGATTGAAAAAATGTTATTAGTAGACACTGACAGACATTAGGAAAAAGATGAACTAAGCAACAGTGGTTCCTAGATTTCTGTTATTTAGAGTCTAAAACTAAGCAAGTGAAAAAAAAAATAAAGAAACTTTGTAAAGGTTATAGAGCTTAAAGATAGTCAGGATTGCAGAGATCGTCCATTTCAATGCCATTATGTTCTGGATGAAGAAACTGAGGCTCAGAGGGGTTCAGTGAAGTACTCTGTCCCAGAGACACTTAAAAGCAAAGTCCCAACTAAAATCCAGGTCCCCTAATGTCTAGTCCAGGGCTAGTGCCACTATGCCACACAGTCTGACAATATTGATCTCTATCTTTATAGAGAGACTAAGGGCTGGACCATATCCAGCTAGAGGGCAATGAATTTGGAATGTGGAAAGTAGACCAATAGCTGCAAAACCATTAGAGCAGATAGGAAGCTAGAATAAAAATCAATTAATTAATAAGCATTTAATGAAAGCCCCCATCTTCAAGCAGTTTACATCACACAAGGTGAAGGGTGAAGGGCAACATATGCGGTTGTGCAGGAGGGAGAGGTACGAGTTATTGCATAGATCAGGAAAGGTCTTATGTAGGAGGTGAAGCCTGGGCCAAGCCCTGAAGTAAACTAGAGAGTCTGAATGGCAGAAGTAAGAAGTGAGTGGCCTTCAGACACTGAGATGGGAGGTGGAGGGCCAGTTTGACTGGTGTGAAGGATATTTGAGGGGAATAATAAGCAAGCAATGCTTCATATGGCTTCTGGGAATGTCAGCCCATCTTCATGAAAGAAGCTAGAAGGAAAGGAGAAAACACTATGTCTTCAATTCACCAATCAATTATCTTTCAAGGCTGTATTTTCCTATTGGGTATTAGAACATTTTTCCAGTATCCTCTTCTTTTTTTGTTCATTGGAAATTATCTTTCTGCGTGTCAGGGATTCACTTTAAAGAAGATGGAGAAGGAGTTGGTTGGTGTAGGGATAGAACTGACGGTCAAAGGTAGAGAACAGTATGGGTAGTATTTCTGTTAAGATCTCCTCACTTTGTTTCTACTTGTCCCACAGACAGAACAAAATATTGCCTACCCGTGCTTGGCCTTGCAATGTACTGCTTATTATAGGCCAGAACCAGCTGTTTGCTCCAATGAAAGATTGCTAGCTGCAGTCTTTCATTTTTATAATAGTACTGAAAATTCCCATGGAAGTTTTATTTGTACCTCCCTCCATAAATCTAATTTTCCTTTCACAAAGCGATGGCTTTGAGCATGCAGGGTATCCCAAAGACATAGAAAGGACCATGAAAGATGAGAAGTGAGCCAGGAATAATTTAAAGTTTGCATCAATGTGAAATATAAAATCCATCTCAAAGGGAAGAGGACTCTGTGAGTCATAAAGACTAACCCACAACTATTCTATTAATAATATGAATTGATGCCATAAGCATTCCAAAGCTGTATTTGAAGTACAATTGTTTTGAAGGAACATGTGTTACCAAGTATGAGAAAGATAAAATGGTTCGGAAGATAGCAAAACTAAGATTTTTGTAGGCAATCCAGAAATAAAGAGGGAGAAAAACAGAATATGGTTGGACAAATAAACAAAACTTCAAAACTTACTTAGTTTCAGAAAATTTGTACAGCTATAAAAACAACATCACAATGAAGATTGTTAGCAGATAGGGAAACACTGACTTTTACAATAGGAATTTTCCATTTCAAATAAAGGGAAATACTGTATTTTTTCCATGCTGATTAAAAGAATAAAAATACTTTTACTCACATTCTGAGAAGGGCCTTATAAAATGGTCGTGTGAAGAAAGCGTCTAACAAATACTGGTGTATCAGTGCAAGGCCAAGGATTCGACCACTAAACCTGAACCTGAATAAGAAAAATAGGAAACAGATCACATGACCTGGGTTAGTGAATTATTAAATGGTTCCACATGTCCACAAGGAGTTCATATACATCCTAGATAACTAGGCCTACATTAGGCTAAAAGTTCACATCTTAAACTCAAGTCAAATTTGTTTGGCTTAGTTATCTTTGTAATTTGAGAAGCTATGTGGTTCAGTGGATGGAGTGCTAGGCCTGGAGTCAGGAGGACCCACGTCCAAATCCATCCTTAGACACTTACTAGCTGTGTGATCCTGGATGAGTCACTGTTTGGCTCAGTTTCCTCATCTATAAAATGGGGATAATAATAGCACTTACATCCCAGGGTTGTTGTGAGAACCAACTGAAATAATGATTTTAAAGTGCTTAGTACAGTGTTTGGCTCATAGCAAGTGCTATATAAATGTTACCTATTACTAACAACCAAAGATTTTGTAGTATGAATAATATTCTGCATGCACCACCTGTTTTGCCAATATGAGTCGCTCATTGTCATTTGTGAGAAATCCCTAAGGGCTACCAATTGAGGTATAAATCAATGCATTCTGGTAGCCAATGGTAGGCAAAGTGGTACTGATGTTGCTTCCGTTTTGTTTGGATTGATGCTCGTGGTATTTCCCTTATATCTAGCACCAACTCATTTTCTGTCACCCTGGTATACAACTAAATATCTTACTTTGCAGAACTTCCCCTTTTTTCTCTCTCCCTCCTCCTTAATCATGATGGTTATCCTCTCAACCCTCAGGGCAATGAAAATCTCTGCCTCTGGAAGTTTTTGGGATTTCCCAGAGACAATGCACCATCTTCTAAACATCTCAAGGCACAATTCATTCTGATTCATTTTGGAAACTTTCTTGAAAATAACTGATATTATTCACCTAGATGATTGAAATGTATACCTCTACATTTCTCTTTATTTCGAGAGTAACAATGCTTCTGGTAGTTGAATCTGATGGCTTCCCTAAGTCAGTCTTTGGAGCAGCAGCAGATATGAGACATTCTAAGAGCAACAGTTTGTCCCTTCTTGTTTCTTCCACCAATGTTAGCCTCCTCCCACCAAATGGTGTTAGATAGCAGTGATTGCATGGCAAATGGTAGCTAAAAAGTTAGGGTGAAAGTTGGACATATTAACCTCTAAGCCATAATTAGATTTTTCCTCAAGGTACTGGCAAAAAAAGAAGGGCATGAATGATGTCTCAGTATGTGACTAAATCATGTTTTACTCACTTGTACCCAGTGTAAAACAAACAGGCACTCTCAAAAATAGGTGCTTTGAAATTTTTTTAATGTCCATGAGTAAAGGAATTTGGAAAAAAAACTTAACTTGAAATAATTTAAATAAAAAATAAACTTAACTTGAATTATCATAAAAAAACTCATCTTTTTTTAAAAGATTTTATGAAAAATCAGTAGGTAGGCAGTCCTCAATTGAGAAATTGTGGATTTACAAATGAGTAATAATATGACTAGCTATTCCTACTGCCTTCTTTTCCATCATTAATGCCTTTTTTGCTGGTGCTCTCTCACCAACCCTGGACCCTCCCCTTTGTGCCTAGAGTCCTCTCTCCCCCTGTTTCTTACCTTAGCCAGATAAAGAATTCCTAATGTCTCTGCTTCACCCCTATTTTGCCTGACCATTAGTAAGTAAGTAAACTCCCTGAAGGCAGGGACTGTCTTTTGCTTTTTTTTTTCTCATCCCCAGGGCTTAACATAGTGCCTGATACAGTAGGCACTTAATAACTGTTTATTAATTATTGACAACCACAGCTGCAGATGCTGGAGCAGCTCTAATCCCTTGGCTGAGACTTTCCCAGATGCTGCCCTAGAGATTCTGCCTAGGGCAAATATCCTAATATACTTCTTCCTGACCTCCTCAAGGTTGAAGAAATACAGAAGAACTCAACATTAGCATTTGTACTTTTTTTTTTTTTTTAAACAGACCCGTGAACTTTTGGTGAGAAATTTCTTCTGCCAATGCAGACTGGCACCTCCTCTGCAACATACAGTCTTTGGGAATTACCAGGAAGAACAAAGACAATCAATGACCTCTCTAGGGTCACAGAGTCAGTAGGTGTCAGAAAAAGACCTTGAATACAGGTCTTCTTGATTCCCAGGTTAACTCTACCTGCCAAGCCATGCTGCTTTCAGTTTTTGTATTATGCTGACTAGCTAATGGCTTAAATAAGCTTTTTTTTTTGGCTTTTTGGTGAGGCAATTGGGGTTAAGTGACTTGCCCAGGGTCACACAGCTAGTAAAGTGTCAAA